TTTAAAATCGGATTATAGCGAGTGTATGAGGGGCTTATAAAGGGTTTGGGCATGGATACTCTAGTCACCGGATTTTCGTGGAACATGAAAAGTTCGAGCCTAATAAGTTCGAGCCTAAAAAGTTCGAGCCTAAAAAGTTCGTACCTAAAAAACTCGGGCCCCAAGACTTTGCTCATGACCTTAGAGCAAAGGCTCGCAACATCCACAGGTACTGACACCGAAAGGAAAAAGGTTGGGGAGCCAAGAATCCCCACGCCCCGTCTACGAGGCTCTTGTCCATCCATCGCGCCCAAGGCAAAGCCATTGTGCCGGCCGGGCATCCAGGAAACTCTGCTGCTTTCGACAAGCTTGCCCTTCACGATCTCGCCCAGGTACTTGCCAGTAGCACCAGCCATGGCGCAGCGCTGGCGAAAAAACCCTGGGGAGCGAAGCTCGCTAAAGTTCGAAGCATACAAGGCCGGAGGCCATTGTTGCTCAAAAGTGGACCCAACACCCCTACGGCGACGGGCCACCATGGCCTCTTCAAAATTTTCTTGGTATCCTTCTTGTTTATACACGTCTTGATGTTCTTGAATGCGCAGACTGGCTTGCGCTGTGCCCACGGGAATAGAACCAACACAGAACAACAACAGAAACATAGCCCGGGACATCCTAAACCCTTTCACGTCGCCGCGGCAGGAGCTAGCCGCTCCCCGCGGGCTGCTCTCATGAAAATTTGTTGACAGCTTCCCAGGATCTTTAACACTACGTGTGTAGGCCCCTAGCTCGCCTAAGATTCGCGTGAGACGCCGGCACCACGAGTAGGTTGGAGAGCAAATCCGCCGGCACACTGCTTCAAAGAAGAGCGACAAGAACTGCGCCCAGATGCGGCCACGGAAGCCGAACCTCTTGAAGAGCAGGTCAGAAGTGATTCCGCCAAGGCTGCGGGCAAAAAGGTTCATCAGGCCGAAAGAGCCCGCCAATGCCGAAGCATCTGCTGCCGCCATCTGGAAGTACGTGCGAAAATGGGTAGCCAATTGGTTGTTCATCGCGAGTTCCTAACGTGTGTAGCGTTCTTGTTTCATGGTAAACCCACACGAACAACTGATCGTAAGCGAGTCTTGGACAAAACGTGTTGCGCACTAACATTTTTGTACGAGCACACTGTCGCCTGGCACAAGCATTAGTAAACATAGTGCCCTGGATGTAAACGCCTCGCTTCACCGACCCTTTGCACTTTTCTGTTTCGTCTGACGAAATTTGTTGAAGATACCTGAGAGCTGCCAAGTTTCCGCACCAAAACAAGCGGAATATTGCGCGATCATGACAACCACCCGCACGTCCTCGGACAAACAATACGGTTTTGTGAATCTCCAAAGGTATGTTACAAGGGGCGGCAACTTGCAACCTTTAGTGTGTCCTTGAGCACTTCACAATAGTCCATCATGGAAGGCTTCTGGGTCTTGCCAGTGACGGACACGTCGAAACGCCTGGGCATGAAACATTAAGCACCAAGTTTAGACGACATCCCAAAAATGATAACCCGCCTCGCAGTGGGTGTGTCCCAGCAAAGGAGCTTCAAGCTGATAGCGACGATCAAGAACATCACTGCTGGGACGATCATGGCCAATCGCCAGGCAGTGTCTGGGGCAATGCCAGACTCTACCATAGGATTAAACAATACGCTCATCATAAAAATCTGCGTGACCTGAGCTTTTGGCAGGTTGACGATTAACAGTGTTGCAAAATCTTTTACCATTCACCTACCGGCACAAACATACAACTGCAATCTTCATGCAGGGGTTTGCTTGTTGAAGTTGCGCAATCCCTCGAGATTTCGGGCACTCCTGGAAATCCCATCGAGAACTTGGAGCCACTCGCAGACATAATGATTTGAAATGTTGCTGTGGGCTGATTTGCATTGTAGTACCTGCCCAAGCTGGGTGAGGCACTGGATGTCTGGCATTTTTCATTGAGTGTGTCGCAAAGCGGGCAGATCGTTTTAAACGTGTGCTGCTCTGATAGAGTCCCACGTAATTGGGAATTTCAGACGTTACCAGCTTACCTGAGCAGAGGGCACCTGGCAGCAACTTTTGCATTGTTGGCAAAATATGGCCGAGATGGCACGTTTTGCGCATTCCTGATGGGCTGTACGTGTGTCCAAATCCGCAAGCTCATCTCGAAATGAGGGCTCCTGAAGGGTCCTTTGCATCTAACGTGTTCCGCATGGCCCAAACAATGGTCCAAAATCAGCCTGGTCCCCGCCAATGAGCAGACAAACGCCGAAGCGCACAGGCCAAACAGCAGCACGCGAGCAAGGTGGCAAGAAGTGGCTCCACACATCCTCCATTTTGCTGTGCATGTTTTTTGGCAAAGGCCAGTTCCGAGAGTGAGCATTCCGGATTGACATCGGGCGCAAGTTGCAAAAACAAACCTTATTAGCAAGACCCTGCCAACAAGTTGTACAAATGCCGGTTGCTGACGAATCCCACCGGCACAGCACGAAACCTGTGCAAACAAAACACTATCCATAGAGGCTCCCCTGCACTAGCGGGTACTATCAAACCCCAATGACACAAAGCAACGCTTCTGATAATGTAACTGAAAGACACACAAAGCGCTGACAGCCAAACCCCATTGGCAAACACCAGTGGTCAGTGGCGACACACATGTACCCAAAGGATGGATAATGCACAATCCCAAAATACACAGCGCGACGGAACAACCCTAACTACCCTCCATGCGTTTAATCAACAGAACAACATAAAACAACACAGGTGGTAGATGGTGGTGGTGAATGTTCCCATCGTATGCTGCAGAATTTGCTGTTAACATTGCCCGGTCGTTCGACTTCAATTTTGCAACTGTTCCCCCACATTGAATATGAGCCCTGTTCTTACCTTAGTCCAATCCGGTGCCAAGCGACTCCGCCACCAAGGTTGCCCCATCCAGCGGCCGTGGCGTTTGCTGTTCCAATGACGTTCGGGGCAAACATCAGGGAACACCAGAATTGGTTGGTGACGAACCTCCATTCCCATGAAACATGGATTCATGTCTTGCATTTTCGGATTTGATTGCACAAAAATACTAAGTGCAAAACATTCGATCGGAAAAAAAACTACGCACACACATTGGGCGGGATCACTGCTTCCCTGCGAAAAGTTACACACCACCTAGAAAAACATCCTGTACAACACGTCTGAAGGACCCTTTGGCGGCATCATGATGTTTCAAACCACTGGGCATTTGAGTGGCAAAACCAGACACGTCGCATTGCAATTTCCAATTCCACATTACGAGGGAAAACGCACAACACACCAAGGGACGTAGCACCAGCGCAGCCGATGAAGAAGCCTAGGTTGGGCCGCGGCATTCAGCACATCATGGCCAACATAACACATCAAAAGATCCTCCATCTTTCAAATCATGCCATGCTCCCTTTACAGATGACATGTTTCACTCAAGCAACTGAAAATGCCTTCCACCCTGAAGGCCATAAAGGTTTGTCATCCTCACCTGCCATCATCAATCAACAGACCGGTCAAGGCACAAACACACGTTGACGGATCAGACGCCCATGAATTCCTAAGCATGCGTCCAGAACCTTACTTGATGCATGGCGAGAAACGAATCATGGTGTAGTTCCAAGGCGCGCTGATGCCTGCAGCGGCTGCCACCCAGATGGCTCCAAATGTCAGAAGCCCAGACTGCACGTTGACCTTTGTAAGCAAGCGGGTCTGCCGTGTCCCGTCAAGATTTGCTTGTGCCAACTCGGGGAGGGTTTGCTTCACATGCTCTAGCTCGCTCCATGCACATGTGCACACATGTGTGTCCTTGCCGGCAGGCACATCTTCACTTGTGCGCGCAGACACACAATCCGATGCACCCCGTACACACAACAATTTGCGACAACACCTCGAAAACTGGTAATTCATTCAAGGTTCGAATGTCAATTATTAAAATCAATGCATGTGTCCTTTCGATTTACATTCACTGGCATACGTCCACGTGCACGAACACACGTGTGTATCTGTATGTGCACGGAGCACATGCTTATATGGGAATGTGCTAAAACATCTGCATACGCACTCCGCACACACTTGTGTTTGCGCTACAAACACAAGTTCATGCCCGCAAACATACAACACAGACATAAAAACGCACCAGGCCATTTGCATACACACACACACACACCTCGCTTAGCGCGCATCGTTCAACACGAGCGTGCCTGGAAGTACCATTCCGCATCGGGATCATTCCGCAACGGAACCGGCTGACATAATATTCGCTGCTCCGTCAATATGCTGACAACATACAAAAGCAAGTTTGCATGCGTTCGCACACGCATGTGTGTACGCAAACACACAAATGGGTAGTGTTTGCGCACATGTCACATATGCTGTGTATGGCCTGCGCAACCACCAATGACTGGCCGCGTTCCGTCAATCAACGTATACACGTGCAAGAAGACATACACATGTATGTGCAGCAACGCATGTGCATGCTCACGCATATGTTTGAGCGCAAGCACAAACATGGAAACGCACCAACCCATGTGCGTACAGCACATGAATCGCGTAATGCGTTTTTGCAACCGGCTCCAATGATTGCCGCTGCTCCGTCGTCTTTCGCCCAACATACAAAGACAAGCGTGCATTTTTGCGCGCACGCACACATATGTGCACGCACGCATACGGTGCACGGGCTGTGCAACCAAAAAATTGACACCTACGATGTTCTTAGGG